TCTATATATATATATATACCTATAACGATGTAAGCTGTACCTATACCTATACCTATGCCCTATACTGTTATACCCTTCATCTACCCTACCGTATACCCTAGACCTAGACCTTTACCCATACCTAGTAAACCTAACCGGAGGTCGATGGTTGGTTCGATATTGTGCTGTCAATGGCTCAGGTTTTCCATTTCCACTGTGTGGCCTACAAGGGAGATATGAAATACCTTGTCCAATCCTTGAATTTGCAGCGACATGCTACGCGGGAGGAGGCCAGCAAACCCGTTACAACCAACTCCCTCCATAGGTTTGGCCCGGTGAGCGTTTAAACCTCATGCACCTAGGCCATAGAAGCATAAGATTTGGGACCTTTGGGATATCTTTAAGGCTCCTGCTACTTGTACATGCTGGTGCCTGCATATTTACCCTGTTCAGATTTGCTTCCGATGTGCTGCCACCAAAGGCAACCATGACTTTGCTTGCTGCTACACTGATGTTAGTGACAGTGCGGCATGGAGGCATCAAAGCATTGGTCCGATGTGGAACATAGCTCCAGCAATGTCTGAGCTGATTGGTTTTTCTGACAAGCTCATCGCTCTGGATTTACTACATGTATTTCATTTAGGGGTGGCCCGTGATCTCTGTGGAACTGGCTTCAAGCTTCTATGCAAGAACCGTGATGTTTATTGCGGCAGCAGGATTGAAAAACGTCTTGTGCAACTCATGACAGATGTCAAAGCCTGGTGCAAAAGACATGGTCAAGTGCTCAGCTTGACCAAAATCAACAAAGATACGCTCAACTGGAAATCAGGAGAATGTCCTGAACTTCGAGCGAAGGGGGCAGACACCATGCTGTGCTTGCGCTTCTTATGTGACAAATTGCAACAGGTACGACTGGCAAAGTACGAAGGCCTTGTTGCTTGCACTTGGGCTGCTGTGCAATTCATTGGGGTTCTTACTCATGCTTTGCTTTTTATGACTGACTCGGAGTGCAGCACAGCCGCGGCGACTGGTCGTTTGTTTGTGCGATCATATATATCACTGGCTGCTGAAAGCTTGGAGGCCCAGGACTATTACTTCAAATGCCGTCCGAAACTTCATCACTTGCTACACATCATCGAAGATATCGGGGCCCCTGGGGCATCTCGCAATCCATTTTCCGATTCCACGTTTGTAGACGAAGACTTTGTCAAGCAGACATTGATCGTAAAGCGCCGGGTTTCTTACAGGAAAGCCTCCCTGAATGTGCTCAAGAGATTCTGTGTCATCAATAAAACAGCTTTGGACAAGCTAGCTTGCAGCTGAGTCTCCCCGATCGCAGAAAATAGATGGCCGGATCTCTGCTGCAGCGCTGCGGCTCTGCTGGGGCNNGTTGCATTTCCGTTTGTTTTTGTGATCGTGTGGAACTTACAATTTGCAAGCGCTTCCAGGGGGGCTCCCATGTGGACCAGTACCAGGTTGATTTTATATTGTTTGGACTCGGGGTTCTTGGTTAAGTAGCTGATGTCGGTATTAGGTTAGCTAGGAAGTTAGACTAGTACCGGGCTCTGCAAGCACAAGAACCCAAACAGTAATAACCTTAAATCCCTACCCAACCCTATATACTCCTTAACAATCACTGGCTCAAACCCTAAACCCTATATGTTGGCTCAAGTGTTAAACCCTCACCCTCAAGAAGTTTGGCTCAAGTGTTAAACCCAAAACACAAGAAATTTCAGCAGTAAGCTGCACCGATGTGACCTTGAAGTACTAGTTTTTCTTCGCTCAAACCGATCATGTTCATGCCCAGTGGCTGCACCTATTCTGATATGTGCATTCAGCACAATGTGTGTTGGATCGGGTGATAATTCCTGCTTGATCGCATCAGAGCCTCCCATTGTCTTCCCAGCTTTCATTGGCGGGCTAATTTTGCATATGTCTCGGTCTGGATTTAAGAGCCATGAAATGTGACTTCAGAAGCCAAAGTAGCTTATATCTTGCAATGTGGGTTATAGTTATACCTTAAAATAGACTTTCAAACGCTTTAACCCACATATCGTCGTCCAGG